CAGGGTTTCGGAGCCTCGAATCCCGCCTCGAAGCTCTGAAGCTTAAGCTGAAGCCGCAACGTGGCATGATTCTCACGAGAAGCCACCGTCAGACACTTACACTGTTGAGGAAAGGCCTCTAGCCTCTGCACGTTTCGGTCGGGGACAAGTTTGGCTTCTGACCATTGGAACTTCTGAGAACTTCTGAGACAACAGATCAAGTGAACTGAAGCTTCAGAGAGCTCGTCTGTCCTTTCTTGGACCCGTGCCGAGGAGGTTCTGCCAGGGATTGGATCTCGGCGCCTTCCAGGGCAAGTCCAACCTGGGCTTGGATGCCGAAATGGCTCTGAAGGCTTGTTTCTCGTTTTAGGGCTCGATGGCTTTGCGGTGGACCACGGGGGAATCCGACGGCAGACAAACGTTGAGCAGCTGCAAAGAGCAATGATCAATGGTTGACCGGCAGTGAAAAGCAGCGGCTGCTGCACTTCTTCCGAGTTTCCAGGCCGATGCCCTGAAGAGTGTCAAGAAGCACACGGCGGCGCAGAAGATCGTCCTCAAGGCCCGTGAACTCGTCGGTCTCCGGCCTGGAGATGGCGGGTGTCAGGACATTTAGGAACATTTTCTCGACTTCGAAGTGCTTCGGGCAGGGAGGGGCCAAACCGTCGATGCTTCTGCCTCCTTTCTGTGAGCTCCCGTCTCATTTTCGAGTGTTGGTTGAGCTGGAAGAAAATAGCAGTGTCGCAGCACAATCATCGAGCTACGGGATCAAGCTGCAGAAGGACTGTTATGTTCAACAAGTCCTAAAGCAATGCTTCCACGGCCTACTCATTGGCAGATGTTTGTCAATTCTGGCATCAATCACGGACAATTGAATCGTCCCCACGGTGGTACACGATTTAAAACGCACAGTGGATACTGGATTTCTCGGCAAGGCCATGAAGAGCACTGGCCGCAAGTATTCCAAGCACTACGAGCAGCGCCAGGCATCGTTTCTCCTGAATCTCGCGCGCGCGCGCGCGAAACGCACGGCGGGATTTTGTGCACTCCTCCATATGTGGCAGGTTCGTTCTCTGCCCGCAGATCCCGCCGACGCTGCCCGAGAGATGCTGACCAAGGCCTCCGTTACTAGCCCAGGGGATAGGGCGCAGTCCTTTCGGGAAGTAGTCCCGTGTTGGCATGTCCACTGATGCACCTGCTCGCCTGCTCCTAGCATGGATGCTGTCTTGCCTGAAATTCTCGTACGCAGGCGGAGATCAAAACGTACAAGGCCACGAGGCCGCTCAGCTGCCTCTGGGCTTCAGGGTCGCGATTTCTAAATTCCTTCGTCTTGAAGTGCACTTGTCTTGGCTGACCTGTGCCCTGGAGCCATGCACCCGAACTTCAATAGTCTATATAAGTCTAAGTCTAAGCGCCCTCCAGCAACTTGTAAAGAACACTCTGCAATGTCCTGCAGGACCGCAATCCGAAAACTACGGACCCTACGCGGGACCAGAGAGGGGTTCAGATTTCCCAGTCTTTCACTTTCCAGCCAAGGCGACAGACTCGCATGCGGAAGGCCAGATGAGCTCCCAGTTTCCGAGATGCTGGGGGTAGTGCCAGAATGGTGCCGAAAGGCTTGTGGTAGATCGGTGGTCTTCTGTTACCGGCTGCAGTTCCAGGTCAGGTGCAGAGGATCTAGTGACTCTATTGCGAAGAGGTTTGCCAGTCACCTCGGGTCTGCTGAGTCAGCCCAGCTGAACCTGCATGCTGTGAATCGATCTGCTTTTCGGGGTTCATGCTTCCGATCCCTTTGCAGGCCACCAATGCTTACTGCGCATTCAACGTGCTGGAGGCCTCAATGCTCGGGGTGTGCAGCTCTGAAGTCCCAAGTTGGGACTCCTCGGGACCCAGAAGGATACAGAGGAAGAGAGGAGCCGGGACAGGGTCATTCAGAGATATGAAGCCTCGTTCTATCAGAGCTTCCCAAAGCCGAAGAGGCCTTCGTCTCCGTGGTCGGCATGGGTGGGGGCCTCGGGAAGGCACGCGTGGAAGTTCAGGACGCACAAAAAGTTTCCCAAAACGCGGATGGGTTTAGGGGCTCGGATTTTGCAGCAGGAAAAAGGCTTCTTACATGACATTATGTGACATTTTAGACGGATGTTCAAAGTCATGGCAGTATACTCCCGAGATGGCGCCACCAATGAACACAATTTGCACATGACGACATAGTGCATGTTATTAATGTGGAGAGCTGAGGCGATGATATCAACGCTATCATCAGGCGCCATCTTAGCAGCAGATGTCGCAATCGACTGTTTCAGGGTCTCTTGCTGAGACTGCAAGTGAGGCTTTCATCTTTTTGATGCTTTCATGTCTGGGAACTGCTGAGCTTGACTCTGTCGAACCGCTCAACACCAGTCGAAATTTCCGACGGCTCACCCGGAAGACACAATCAACACACGATGAAATGACGACAACGGCTGATCGACATGCCGTTGTAAGCAGGCAGATAGGTCGCGGAGGGAAAGGCTGAAGATCGTGAAATGTTGAGCATATCATGTGTTGTCGTAGATAATTGCCAGCGTTGTCAACTAGTCCCGTGTTGTCGAGTAGGCCAGGAATCCACCGAAAGATGACGAGCAGAGACTGTGTCCTAAACTCGAATCTTTTTCTGAGAGCCTGGGCTTCGAAAGTTGGCGCTGCCAGGACCTGCCCTGCTCCTCGCGATGGTGAATCAGAGCTTGCTTGCCAGGTGCAAACGGGTTGCGGGGGCGATGCTATGTCGAGGTTTTCGGCTGCTATGGAGATTTTGCAGCTGACAACTTGTTTATCCTGCATGTGACTCCGGAACGCGTTTGTTCCGAACTGATCCAACAATCGCAGGAGCAAGTTGTGTCCGAACTGATCCGAGAGCCTCGAGTGAAGGTCAAGAGCGAGCCTCAAGTTGGAAGGATAGTGTTGACGGGTTTGAAGATAAAACAATGCCAAAAGGTGCGAGTGCAGTTTCGGGCATTTCCAACGATCCTTGCAGCCTCACACTGAAAACCGGGTTGACTTTGTGAGATGCTTTGCCGACACGGACATCACGACACCGCCAGCGGCAGCACCACTGCCACCACCACCACCACCACCACCACCACCACCACCACGGCTGCCCACCGCCGCTCCCACCTCGTCTGCATGCACTGCGCCCACTGCCCTACCTATACCTACCGTGGCCACGACCATGACCACAACTTTCAGCAACACCACTTCCGTTGCCCATGGCAGTGGGGCAGCCAGCATACACTCGGTCTTGCAGTTGAGGTTCTTGACGGCTAGAGGGCTGGGTGAGTCCATGGGCGTGCATGGCATGCCTGCCAGGTGAACGGCGCCATTTTGGTGACCTGGGTCGCTAATGCGGCAGCCAAGCTGTCGTACGCTGCTACGAACTGTGCGCTGAACCTCAACGTGGATGCTGTATGCTCCGTCGGCGTTACCGGCCTCGTCTCTGTGATGGGCGAGCTGGCAGCGACTGCTTCCCTGGCGGCGGCCACGTGCACAGGGGTGCCGCCGCAGTTGACCACCACCAAGATCAGCGTGCTCGGAGACCAGACTGTACGTGATGGCCGACGACTGCTCATTGGACAGGGTCCAATCGGAGTAGGCGTGCAATGCGGGGTTGACGTCGGCATGGTGGTTGCCAACCTCGCTAACATGGGTATCTCCATCAACTCGGCTGTGAACAGTGGTCAATGCGGCCGTGTTAGCCTCGACGGGCCAATTAACAAGGTAGCCTGCTTAGTCTATGCACTTGCGCAAAGCATATAAACGTATAACATTGCGAAGTATCCTCAGTTTACCAAGGTTACTGGCATTTTTAGCGCATTGTGCACGGTGGACATTGGCGGCGCGATCGCCTACATGAGCCAAGTCGTGACGTTCATCAATCTCATTGTGGTTCACTGCCAGGACTTCCTGGATGTCAGTGCACTCTGTGGAGCAAGCATCTCAGGCATCATCACGGCCGCTGCGGCCATGGCTCCTTATGGCGCTGCCGTGCACGCTGCCTGTGCCGAGGGTGACGTCCTGAAGAACCCCAAGAAGCAGGAAATCATCAACGGCCTGTACACGGTGCCCACCTTCCCCCGCCGGTTGGAGGAGGTGCAGAAGGTGCAGGAGATGAAGGATGCCATGGCCAATCTGAAGGACCTGCGCCAAAAGTTGGAGGCCAAGATCGGCTTCAACGCCTCGGTGCCGACCATGTATTCCGAAGCGAACATGGAGCAGATGATCCAACTCATGAACGATGGAATTGCTGGCGATGCGGAGACGTCGTCTATGCGTGGGTCTTCGGAGTTCACGAAGGAGGAGTGTGAAGAGTAAGCGAATCATAGAATCATAGCAAAAGAGCTTCAACCGAATGAACGTTGGCAATGACTGCGTTCATAATTCAGCTTGAGGGCCTGCGATGTGAGAGATACCGATCTCAGTCCAGGTTCCTCTGGTTCAGTGACGATGACTCACATCCGTACATATACCATTGAATCGAAGAAATCCTGGTGGAAAGAATCAACTTGGAAAGGGTCATCGTGAAGTTGGAGCTTGCATCATTGTTTCCGAAGTTTCGCAGTTTTGTGCGGGTGGTCCACCCATGCACGGCAGCATGCTGCTGAGGGCCGGGTGCTCACCACGCGCTCTGACAGAGCTCATCCTCCTGTCTTCCAGGGTAGGTGTGACTGGAAGGTGTTGTGATCGGCAACTGCGGCACATCCACACTGCCGCAGCATAGACTGGAGGACAAGCTGCTTTGTATTCCCGCATGGCCTCACCAGTGGGCTAGGCAGGGAGTATCCTGGAATCATACGATGAGAGGATCAGATACGTCAGATCAGTAGCGGCGACAACCTCTTGCCTCTCATACCCTTTCTCTGCATCCGTACGTCAGAAAAGGAGACGATCAGTCTCACCTTAGTCTTGCTCCTGAACTGCAGAAGCTTCTGTCGCTCTATCCGCTGTCAGAGTTGTTCTCGGAACGCAGATCGCCAGTGTGCCATGTGCCCATGCGCATCTGGCTCAAGGCACGGAACCCCTTGTGCCGAAGATATCATGAACCGATAGCTGATCCATTTCTACGTTGGTGTGTTGAAGCTTGACTGGACTGGCCAGCAGGCTGCTTCTTGGGTGTCTTTTCTTGTGTGACACGGTGGACTCAGGAATTGAGTGCTCGGTCCTCGCAGGTGCAGTTTTGTGTTGCCGACTAATGTGCACGCACATGGCGAATGATGTACGCAGGCGGCAGCATGCACAACGGCTATGCTCTGCCGTTGTTGATGCATGGGGCTTGGATTATGGCGTTGGCAGTTCGACAAAGGATTTTGCATCCTGGAGTGGTGTTGCTGTGCAATAGGTGGGTAGCTTGCGCATGAAAGGATATGCATCGAGCTCACCTCTTGTGACAAGGACACCGCATGCTGAATTCCTGTCGACGTTTCTGATCTTTGTCTGACAGTGACAAATGCAGGCGGTGAGGTCGCCAGCATTTGCCTTGGTGGACGACGATCCGTGCCTGCGTCGTGGCCTTGGCTTCTTTGCCGTGTGGCTCTGTGTTCGCCGTTAAGTCAATCTTGGAGTCAGCGACAGAGCTGCGGAGGTGACCCCGACAGTCAGGACTTCCAGTGTGGCCCCGCACCTACAGACCGAAGTGCAGCGCAGGCCGGTGCAAGAGTTGTGAGCAGGCACAGCGCTTCTACAAAGTGGAAACCGGCGCCTGCCGCCTCGGAAGGCAGTCCTGGATGCAAAAGTCAGTTGGCACGTAAGTGAGGAAATGCCGTTTGCCAGGCGGCATACCACTCCGAAGCCTCCAAAGTTGGCAACAAGGCGGACAGAACCCGGTAGAGTCAGACGCATGAGCCTGGTCGCTCACCGCCATCGGCATCAGCCCCGTACCTTAGACATACCTTGGACCTTGCTGATTCTGAAAAGAAAAGGCACCGGTCCTCGAGGACTTGTTGGAAGTGGCCGGCAAGGTGCTTCGGCCGGGATTATTGACGTGCAGGTGTCCTGTCCCGAACCTCCTGTATGTTGACTGTACCTGTTGAAACTGTCGGAGAATTGGCAATAGTTGGCAAGTGTTGCATTGTTTGACAGGCCAGCTACAATGCGAGCTTCATAGCGCAGCTGGAAAGCTTGGCCGTGGCCTGACGGTTCAGGGCGAGAATAGGAACCCGAAAGCGCTTTGAGCTGACAGGTCTCAGATCCGAGTCTCGGAGCCAAGGGAGTCCACGGAAGCCTTCGCTTCTTGCAAGAGGAGCCTGAAGGGCCTGGATGTTCCGATGCTTCAAGAGGGAGATCCGCGAAAGAAACATCTCTGGAGGAGCATTCGATCAGGCTCTCTACTTGCGATGCCGAGCTTCGGTTGCGAGTCTTGGTACGAAATTGATCCCCCTCTTGTGGATGCGCAGATGGCTTGATCTGGTAACTCACTAGTGTTCGTAGACACTCCGTGATGACTGTGCCTCGACCCTGCTGTTGACAGTTCAGCTGCCGGTCTTGGATTTCTTGGTGCTCCACGGCTCCAGGAATTGAGAGCGAGCTGAAGCTCACTGACCTCTACAACCAGTGGCTGCGTTTGGACAAGGCCAGTGGCTCAGGGTCCCAGTTCCGTGGTTGCCAAGATGGTTCCTTCGCAGCAACCGAAAACCGATGTATATAGGTTTGACAGCAATCACTTCTTGAAGTTCTGATCCTACACCGCAATCTCAGAGGCCTGTCAAGCAGACGAGCATCTCCTTCGACACGAGCTTGACTTGTGTCCCAGACTGAGCTGTCGGGTCTGTCGCATGCCACTGCCTCAACAGCGGGTAATAGTCGCGCGATCCGGCCTTTCCAGTTCATCCCATGGCGATACCCAATCCTGGAAACTTCCTCAACTCAAAGCTTTGTGTTCCGTGTTACCTTCGAGAGACTCAGTGAGCTCAGAGAGACCCAGTTAACGTGATTGCGAGAATGAGTCTCAGTCAAAATCCAGAGTTCGTTTGATTCATGGAAATCAAGCCGGAGCTTCTTATTTTACTCAGACCCGGCTGTGACTGCCATGTGAGCACCAGGTTTGGAACCGTCAATAGCCTATATTACTCACGTCCAACGCGAGTCGTGACACCGTTCGGGATCTGATTTTGCCGAAAACGGAAGAAAGGGGAACAACAAAGCAGTACTCGTTGTTGCGATGATGTGCTGCATCTGTGTGAGCTGAGCAATTTTCCAGGTCTGCAAGCGCGATCGGTGGCCTGGATCTGAGTTCCTAGTGCCCGAGCTGCGAGGGGTTCCCTGATTTCTCCGAGGACAAGCGGGAGAATCAGACGTCGGGCTGTGCGGAGCATAGCAGGCTTCGGTTCATTCTTGCACTGTCATGCGTGTTGGTAATAGGACCTTGCCTGACCCTCGAGGCTGATGCAGAAAAAAGTGAAGGAGTGCTCTTCCATCCGAGCGGCAACGCGGTCAACCGGATGCGCACGTGCTTCTCAGGCTTGACCTTGTTCTTCTGCCACAGTTTGGGTAGAACATGCCTCCGACCAGGCTGCCCAATCCTGCAGCTCGTACAGTCTCTGCCGCACACGCATGTCTGCGGCAGCTCGCTTGGAAGACTCGCTGCCCGTGGTAGGGTGGGGCCGGGCCGGGATAAGGAAGCATTGAAAGCTTTGAAGTAGTTTCCGTTGAACGTTGCTTGAGGCTTTGGCACAAGCAGGAACAGCAGCTAAAGCGGTCGTCGCTGGACCGCACCAGGCCTGGCTGCCCGCCTTCGCCCCTTCCGAGAGGCTTCACTTGATAGTTCCGTTTGAGTCGCGGATGAGCGACGCATGTTTGGTCCAAGCCCTTATGTGTGCCATCAGATACAGCACCTGCAGCACCTTCAGCATCCCATCATCCCAGCAGCAAGGCAGCCCCCCACCCCCTTATTTCAGTTGTGTCCCAGCTGAGAGACGTGGGGACCTCTCGTTGCCCCAAAATGGCGGCCGCGGCGGTGAGCGACGAGGTGGAGGCCGAGCTTCCCTTGCCGGCCGTGGCGCTGCAGGAGGAAAGCCTGCCCAGGGCCCAGGGGCCCAGCTCTGACTTTGTGCAGGTCCCGCTGGAAATAGAAAAATTCTTCAGACGAGGTTCGATGTCACTGATGAGACGGTGGATGCGGTCCTGCTGTTCTTGGGTTTGGACAACGCAGGCCTTTCCATTCGATCCCTGTTTGGGGGTCTTGATGTGTGTCTGACTCCTTGATGGCGCCGCCATTGGTAGCTTGAGTCCAGCTGTCGATGCCGACGTGTGGATGTCTTCAGCTCAATATGTATCGGCGTTTCAGCTTGTCGCGAAGGCAAGACGACTTTGCTACAGATGCTGAAAAACGACACTTGCATGCAAAGGTACAATTCCTTGCGAAGCGCTGCTTCAACTTCATGTGTCGGAGGTGTAAGTCGCGAACCTGATTCAGTCTCGGGTCGTAGTCCGTTCTGCACGTCGCCGTGAAGGTTGTGCGGCTGGCCGTCGCATGCTAGCCAGCTTATGGTGCCTGCGCGTCCATCCCGATCCGATGCACTTGCCGGCCTCGGTGCAGCTGATGCCCGCGATGCTCCGCATGCTCGCCTGACCTGCTTGGCCAAGTCGGCTTTCGGTCGCTGGTGGCCCGGCTGATGCTCGGGATGCTCACCGTGGTCAAGCCTCGCCGAGTGTAGTTGCGGTCGCAATTGATGATGGGTCCTATAATATTATTAGGCTCAGTTGCTTCATCTCAGGATCGCATGGTGGCGCAAGTCCCGACTCTCCACCCACAAAGCGAGGAGCTAATCATCGACAAGGCCTGGGTAACTCAACTTTCCTTGAAATTCTGCCACACTCACTTTGAGTCAAGTTTGAGTAACAGCCGACCTGGCGGCTGTGGCCGTGTTGTCTCGGAACAGCTTTGGACGGCACTTGCTCCTGTTCGCATCGGAACAGACACAAAGCCTGCGAAGAAGCCTCTCATGTATCTTGCGACGAAGGAAGACTCATTGAGGAGTCCATGAAATGCGGCCCCTGCCAGGTCCGGTACAAAGCCTTCGACCTTGCCGGCCACGAGATCGGCAGGCGGTTGTGGCAGGACGCCAGTCCCAAAAGAGCCTTCTGCTTGCGGTCCCCCGCCAAGACACAGTAGGATCAGCTACAATCGAGTGTTTTCAGGACTACTTCCCAGTTGCCAGTGCCATTGTGTTCCTGGTGGATTCCGCAGATAGAAGCAGGCATCTTGCTCGTCGGTGATGTGGGGAGAAATGCCTCGTGTATCGTAAGAACTCGGCTGTGTTTTGGAGGTTCCCAGAAGCAGCGGAGGAGTTGAAGCACCTCCTCAAGGCGAGGGGTCGGGTCAGGGTCGGGCCCGATGTCAGAGTCTTCACGTCTCTGAGGAGCCGGCTCTGAGTGCTGTGCCGATTGCAGTGCTGGCACAGAAGGCCGGACAGACTCCTTCTTTTGTCTTGTCGTGTCTGGGGAGCTGGTCCGAGGTGGACCTGCCCGGCGCGGCATCGAAGGAAGAATTTTCTGGTGCCGTCCCTACTACAAGAAATTTCATTACACAACAGCATGAACACGTTACGCTTTCCGAGGTGCCCTGGGCGTCCCAAAATCCTCGGATCGCAACATCGAGGTGTTCATGTGTATCTCAGCAGCACCAACGAGCATCAACTATGCCCCAGTTCTTGGCACTGTGTCAGTGAGCCGGAGCAACACTGTGGCCCAAAGAAAGGCAGTGTGATGGAGCGAAAGGGTGCCCATCTCAGCAACACCAAGCACTGGTGCGATGGTGGTTGAGTCCGGCAAGATTTGTGCTGCTATGCAGGCAGATTCCACATATTTCCATGGTCCATCATGTGCTTCGCATAGCCATTTTGGCCCAGTCAATCACGCCGTACTAGTACATGTTTTGCTTCGGCGTTTCGCGCCGTCTTCAGTTATCGTACCAGAACTAGAGCTACTTGCGACTTGGCTGTCCCAATTAACGACCGTTTCGGCCGTTAGACCTTGAAGAGAGGAGACGTCCTTCACATGCTGTCTCTTTATCTGTCTCCGTGTCCCTGGCCTCTTGTTGCACTTGTCTGTTTCTGCAAGAACTCTTGCTCTCTCTCCCTTCCTATGCGTGCAGTCTCCGTCCGCCTTATCTGATCGGTCTTTTCTTTATCTTGCCAACAACTTTTTCCAGCCGTTTACTTCTGTCCGAGCAATGACTAGAAGAAGAAGCCGTACTGGCAGTGGTCGTCGTCTTCCTCGTCCTCGTCTTCGTCGTCGTCGTCGTCAGAAACAGTAGCGATTGCAGCGGCAGTGGGCAGTAGGCAGTAGGCAGTAGGTAGTGGGCAGTGAGCAGTACGCAGTCGGCAATAGGCAGTGTGCAGGAGGTAGTAGGCAGTGCGCAGTAGCAGCAGTAGCAGCAGTAGCAGCAGCAGCTGAAGCGGCAGAGGCAGTGGCAATTGGAGCGGTGCAGGAGCAGGAAGCAGGAGCAGGAGCAGCTGCAGTAGCAGGACTAATCGAAGGTAGCCATAAGACTCGTTGCACATTGAGTATTTCAGCCGATGTGTTGAACCCTGTTTAGAGTTGCGAGTGCACCCAGGCATCTGCACAGCATGTCGAGCACAGACATTGCCGAGTTCGCGCGCAAAGCTTCGGAAGTGATGGTTATTGGTGGGGCCTACATATCTGCTCCTTGGCCTTAGGAAAAAGAGCTCGGTTGGAGACTGCGCTGGCCTTGGCAAACGCAGCATTTAGATGTCTTGGATGCGTCTGAGGTTTCGGCAGGACTGATTACGTTCAACAAGTACTTGATGCATGAAGGTCGTTTTCCTCACGCTCTGCACCTCACTGCAGTGCACATGGCTATGACAACCATGCTTTCCGTGATGCTGTACGGTGCTGCGCCGTCCATCTACCCTTCGATGAACAAGGCCATCGAGAATCGAGGCTTGTTGATGCGATATCTGGTCCCACTTGGCGTCTTGTTCGCCGTCGCGTTGGCCTGCTCCAACCAGGCATATTTCTACTCTAGCGTTGCCTTCCTGCAGTTCTGCAAGCAGGGCAATATTGCTTTTATTTTCTTCGCATCTTGCGTGCTCGGGCTACAGACATTCAGCTGGCAGAAGCTGATGGTTCTGTCCATCGTCGTCACCGGCTGCTGCATCTGTGCTCACGGAGAGATCAAATTCCAGATGCTGGGTCTGGTCTTTCAGTTGTCATCGCAAGTCGCAGAATCTTCCAAAAACCTGCTGGGTGAAATCGTTCTCACCGGTGCAGGCCTCAAACTTGATGTCCTGACATTCGTCCTGTTTCAAGCACCATTCTCTTTGGTTCCGCTTATGGCCGGAGTCATTTCTACCTGGTCACCGGAAGTCTTTAACGACTTCGTGAACATGTGGTGGGTCGTCCTTCTGAATGCTGCAGTAGCTTTCTGCCTCAACGTGCTCATCGCCCTGACCCTCAAAAGACTTTCAGCCCTCGCCTTCGTGATCATTGGTGTTGTGAAGGCAGATGGTTTGTCGGTTGTTGTCCTGAGTGTGCGTTGCCGTCTGCATTCGTGCGACCAGGATGTCACCATCGTGGCCAGTTCCAGCTTGGTGTTCGGTGATCCGATTTCCCACCAGCAGTACATCGGCTTCACTGCCTGCTCCCTACCTTTCTCAGGGTCGCTGAACAGCAGAGACAGAGTCAGAACGTGCTGCAGGTCACCATCTGTGGCATCGCCTTGTGGAGCCATCTGAAGCTCAGGGAGCAGTGTGCTCAGGACGCTTCCGACGCTCGTGGAACTTCACTCACTTTTCACTTCCACTGACTTGGAATCCTGCGGAAGGACAAGCCGTCTGAGACGACACCCCTCGCACCCGCGGAGAAGAAGAAGTCGGCGGCTTCCTCGGCTCCAGGGATGAGACCTTGCTTGGGGCAAGTCGAGTTGTGCCGGGGTCTGTTGTTGCGGATGCTGGCTGTTCGGGGCTTGGGTCACATGGGAAGCAGCACAGGGGCGAGGGTCAGGTTCTGATGGGGTCCCTGCAGCTAGTGTGGCATCTTGGTTTGTATGCTGCTGTCTGCTGCAGTGTTTATGCACAAGCCAAGCGTTGCCCAGTTCTTGGTATTCCCTCGTTTTCAGAGACGTCTCAAGCCAGCCTTGAGGTTGAAAGTGCTTGAACAAGCCTGGCAGCCCGCAGCCGCGGATCCCAGCTGCAGCGGAAACATGCTGCGCGAAAAAGCTTCGTCTGTGGTGCAAAGTCAGCGGCATGCTTTCAGCGGATAGGAGTGGCACATAGGGGCCTTCATTGCATCAACAAGGTTATGCCGAGGTCATGCGGTGGATCCAGGACTCGATGGTTTGTGCAGAATGCGCTTGTCATGACTGGGCCGCCAAATCGCTGGTCTTGTTGGTTCACAACTGTCATCAGCTGTCCTTGGCTAGAGTGTCGGCAACTAATCCCGGCAGGAGCAGCTCTTGGCGACCCATATCACTGTGCCCAAAATTCAAGGTGAGCCAGCAGGAGTGCTTTGAGCACAATTAGATGGCAGCCAGGGACGGTGGGCTGGGATGGTCGGAGTTTCAGGAGCAGAGCCCGTGATGGATGATGACTTCGTTTGATGTCATCCTTTGCGCACGTGGCCGGCTGGGGGTACCTTGGAGAGAAGAGCAGTGCAGTGGAGGTTTTCTGCAGATCGGATCTAGTGTTTGGGGGTGTTTGGTTCCAGGATCAGCTGTGAGACTCGCTTGGCGCACGCTCCAAGGCCACTGTCATGTGAGGAGCAAAGGACTACTCCGCTCGAGCACCAGTAGCCTGGCAATGTCAAATGCGACTGCCACAGTCTCCTTGTGCTGATGCTAGAAGTGCCGGTGCATGATTTTCCACACTGCTCTGGCACTGTACATACCTCACGTGCAGCTGAGGGCTACAAGCGGCGTTTGTCAGGTTTCTTCAATCTGTCTTCCGAACCCGTCCAATCCAATGTGGTTTTATTGCGTCTGTCAGTCGCGCTGGCTTGCGACAGCGACTTCCAAGTGCCTTCGGGACCGCTTGAGCTACGACCTCGGATTCAGAGAAGGTTGGAGGCCATCAACTTACATGGTGTCAGATGTCTCTTCACAGGTGATAAAAGCTTCAACCACTCCAGCGCGTTGCATCCTCAGCGACCAGTATAGTCTCTGACAGGTTTCTCCAGGCCTGAGTCTGAAAGCGGCTTCGAATGCCCAAGCAGCTGCATTGTCCACACAGGCAGATGAATAACTACAGGGTTTTTTCAAAGGACACGGGTACCTATAATACTATCTTTATCAATATGTACCTACACACAAAGATGTAACCAAAATACATATGTATGCGTAGATGTAGGTATATTTATGCCTCTGCAGTGAGTTATTCCGTAGTCTATGCCATGTCCAGTTGTTTGTGCTGTGCAGAGCTGTTCGCAACTCTGCCCGTGTGCAGCCGTAGAGTGTGTGAGCCCTATCTGTGTGCACAGCACGGAGCAGCCTCCTTGGCCTTGCAAGTGCAAGGGTGTTCGCACCCACAGGCAGTCAACCAATCATAAATTTGTATATACACTGCTTTGTATGTACGGATGTTTGTAGAGTATGTAAGTGTATATACAGATATATGTATATAATTAGATATGTATTTATATGAACGCATGTGTAGGTATATGCGTGTACGTGTAAGTATACGCATGTCATGTATGTCTGCATTCTGTATGTACGTTTCTGTTTGTGCATGTCTGCATGTATGTATGCATGGATGTATGTATGCACGGGTGTAATCTGTTTCATGTGTTTCCATGTGTATGTCTGTGTGCGTCTGTGTATGTCTGTCTATGTATGTGTCTGCTCATGTGCATGTGTTTATGGGTGTATATGTGTGTGATGTTTTAGCATGTGTTTGTATGCTACGTATATGTACGTATGTATGTACGTACCCATGTATGCATGTATGTATGTATGCATGTATGTATGTGTATTTATATACCTGTACGTACATGTATATGTTTATGTTCATGTTTATGTTTATATTTATGTTCATGTATGTATAGGTATCCATATGTTCGCCCATGAACGTATGCATGCATGGTGGCTGGCTTTTTGGCTGGCATGCTGGCTGGCTGCATGGCTGGCTGGCTGGTGCCTGGATGGCTACCTGGATTGATGGATGGATGGCTGGATTGATGGCTGGATTGATGGCTGCCTGTCTGGCTGGCTGGCTGCCGGCTGGCTGGCTGGCTGGGTGCGTGGATGGATGGGTGGATGGGTGGATGAGTCGATGGTGGATGCGTAGATGGGTGGAATGGTGGATGGGTGGGCGGGTGGGTGGTTGGATGGGTGTGTGGGTGGATGGATGACGTGTGTACGTATGTGTGTTCTGTTGGTGCATTCTTTATTCACAGGCTATTCAACGGTTATTCATTCAACATCCGGTTCTGAGTAGGGTCATTATCATTCGCGTTCCTCCCTTTGTCCGTTTTATTACTGTCATATTATAGGTTATATGTGTGCGTATGTGTATATATAGATCTACATACACACACGCATATATATATATATATATATATATATATATATATATACACACACACACACACATTCACATATGTATATATATGTATATATATATATATATACGTACACATGTATACACATTGCCCCGAGGCTCTTGGCAGCAAAGGCCTGCCAAGCCCTGGCCGAGAAAGAGATTCAGGCCTTAGGGCAGCCCAAGGAGCAATCGGAGCACTCACAGCCGCTTTTATTTTAGGCCTTGAAAGTTGGCTTTTTACCTCTGCCTGGGCTCAAAAAGGATGGGGCCTGTGAGCATTCGTTGTCGATGTCAAGCGAAGCTCTCTCGCCTCTTTCTGGGCCTTGCTCTTGCCACGTGGTTGCGCTTTTGCGTTCCGGCACGGGCCATGAGCGAGCCCCCGTCTCCTGCTGGGCTCCTCGTGCTTGGCCTCAACCCGGGCTTGCAGACTATCCTCCGCTTGCGTGACCTGGACCTGGGCCAGGAGGGAGATGCTGACGATGATGCTGGTGGTGATGCTGGCTATTGTGACGATGATGATGATGAGGATTTCGATGATGAGGATGTAGATGATGACGATTTCTGAGCACGCATCTCCCCACGTCCCTTGAGGTGAACCGGGCGGAGGCTGCCATTACTGGAGTTGGCGGCAAGGGGCAGAACGCAGCCAAAGCTGCCAATACTTTTCTGAGGCTACGGCCGGAGAGGTCATGCCCGGTGACTGTTTGCCAATTTCTTGGTGGGAGCACGGGCGAAGAGGTCAAGCGCCTGCTGTCCCAGCAAGGTATACACGACATCACGACGCAGACAGGCGCGGCAACGAGACAACTGGTCACTCTGGTCGACTACGCTGCCTCCGGTGCTAGCCCCGTGGTCACCGAGCTCGTCGCTCCGTCACAGCCGATTGAGGAGGCTGCTGCACAAGAGCTGTTAGCCAGAATCATCGCAACTGGTACGCAAAAGACGGGTCATGCTTTCAACCTTGAGGCCAACGTAAAAGTAAGTTGTTCTAAAGCAGTTACAGTACAGTGGCCTTTCCGACTTGATCCTCTCAATGTCCCAGAACATGAGGTCTTTAAAGACGGGCGGGTTCCTTGCAGGGACCGTTCAAAGCAGAGTCGTTCTGGTTGTCTGCATCCCTGAGCTCTTGTAGCCTAGGATGCTGCTTCGAGCTTCAGGGGCATCCTGCTGATGGGCACCTGGCCGCGTCTCGACGTACCGTAAGAGAAGGGAGGCCTCTCGAGGGTGGGAGCCGTGTTGTTCAAATTCAGCACATGCTTAGCCATTTTAGGAGCAGCAGATGATGGTGTTCTGTCTTGCTAAAGCTTCACTGGGATTTCAGTTGGCTTACAACTTTTTTTTTTGTAGTTGTAGTGTTCCAATGCCTGAGCTGTGCTGTGAGGAAGGTGGGACTTACACCTGAGAAGAAGCTCCTCCGGAAATCCTGAATCCCATACCCAACGCCCTTCATCCCACCCAAGCTCAGCGAGAGAGACAGAGAGAGAGAGAGAGAGAGAGAGACCTCCACTTGGACACACAGCGTAGCGCAGTGCGCAGGGTTCTGGGGTCTCCTGGCCCCGAGCCCACACGCTGAGCAAGCAAGCAAGCAAGACCTCTACTACGTTGCATCTGGTTTTGTCGACACTCAGATCATTTCTACTCTGCTCGAAGTGCTGCAGTCTTTTTTCTTGTGTTTCCTTCATCTTAGTCAACGTTACCATCATCGTCATCATCGTCACCATGATCATCACAGTTCTGAAGCTCTTCTTGATCCATCGGTGCAGTGCTTGATTGGCAGCACTTAGGAACGGGACCACGTCACGGCTGTACCAGGCTGCAGCTGAGGCGAAGGCTGCAGGTGCGCTGTGCATTCTGGATGCGCTGAAGCCAGTTCAGGCCCGCAGAGGCACTAGGTGCGTAAGGGGTGTAGGGGTTTTGAAGCGCAGCTAAGGGGTTTAGGATGATAGGTGTTTCGGGCTTAGATGGTTGTCGTATACTGTTCGGAGGATCAGGTTTGAATGGGTTGGAAGGTGTCGGGGTTTGCCGGTTTTAGAGTGTGCTTTTCAATTTGCAGAGGGTATGCGGTGGGAAGTTTGCACGGAGCATCCATTGACAAGTGATAAAAATGACAGAGGGAAGGTTCCTGCTAGGACGGCAAAGGCTGCTCAGTACTGGACCCCTCATCAACGAACCTTCAGTGTGAAGGGCCGAGGTACGAGGATCCTTGTTGTAAGCCTTATCACAGGCCAACCTGGGGCTTGCCACTCAAGGGTCTGCACAAAACATCGTTTGCCTTCGAGGACATTGCCGATCTCCTAGCGAGCGGGTACATCGACATCTACAAGGTTCGACTGCTCCGGGAAGAGTCCGAGTCCATTTTGTCCACTGGTCGACCAGCTCGTGCCACTAAGTATTGAGCCCAGTTCCCAAGATTCAATCTCTGCCTCCTACACCGGGAAGCTTCACAGTCAGTCTCGGTTTGGATGTCGGCTACCTCTTTCATTCTTTACGAACGGTGCAGGTTGGCCGACCCGCAGAAATTTTCGGTCGAAACTCAGGGTTTTCACATGTATGCGATCTTTACAGAGCCCTAAACCCTATCCCTATCCCCAAACCTCAACCCCCCGCAAGCCCACACGGAAATACACACTCCCTCGGGCTTCTTGCTCCCATTGCGCTGTCGTTCATTATCGCGCTTCTTCGCAGATGGCGCGAATGTCAGGTCAATGCTGTGGAGCTATGTACTTTGATGGGGGCGCAAGGCCTCCGAGAAGGAGAGGTCGGGGAACATCAAATTCGAGAAGGAGTGGCGAAAATGCTGCCAGGCTCAGGATTCTTTTGATTCGTGCATGTTGCGAGTGTGTGAGGCATGGACATGTGTGACTCTGGTGAGGTTTGACAAGTATCCCGGAGTGAAGCATGCGGCCATCACTGTTCCTGGCCTTCAGCTGGCACCGCAGTGCCCACTACGACAAAACACTACCATACGATTGGCACGAGGTATGGGGTAGGGGTGATACTTCCTGGTACCTGTGCGTCTACTGATGTCCCTCGACTCAGAATATTCCACGAGATTTTACCGGTCTCATCATCCCTGGCATTATAAGTCAGGTGCCAATGTCGTTACTTAACAACGGTGAGCAAGATTCCAGCTCTTGTGATGGTACTTATGCTGACATGTGCGATTAATGATGTGCTTGTTCTGAACGACGGCTTCGGCATGGATGTCGCCGTCATGCTGATCGCTCTCAGTGTCATGATGATGCTGGTGTTGTCCTCTCCGCCAGCACAACCAAGAGCATCCCACAAAGGCAGCAGCACTGTGATTATCGCCACTACCACTGCACCACGACCAGCATCAGCAACAACAGCACCAACAAAGTGCCAGCACTAGCACTAGCACTAGCTCCTACAATACAGCACCGGCACCGCCAGCAGCATTTGCACCAGCACGGCCGTCTTCTTGTTCTTGTAGTGATGGCAACCGGTGGTGATGGTGGTGATGGTGTTGGCGTTGATGGTGTCGGTTGTTGCTGCCGGGGTTGCTATTGCTGTTGCCGTTGCTGCCGCCGTAGGAATTTGTCGACGGTTTCGCGAGGAGACAAAGACGTGATGACGACGATAAGGTAAAATGCCATGATGATGAGCAGTGTTGGTGTTCGTGGCGATGATTCCGACTGTTGTTTGCTCGGCTACTTATGGTCTGAGCAAGGCTGGTCCCCAGGCCGCGTTTCTCTTCTCGCGAGATTCGGCGGTGCGCTACGACATTCCCAAGGTTGACTGCGGCCTTTCTGCAAAACCGGTGGTTCACGAGACTTGAGTCTGAGGTCTTAGCTTTTTGTTGGCTCAGGTTTCCGGCCGAGGCTGTTTGAGGTAGGTATTCGGAGATACACATGATCTGCCCTTCAAAGATCTGGACTGAGGGCTGACGTTTCTGGCTTTGCTCAGGTTGCGACTTGGAATACAGACCCTGCGTGGTCTGGTACCCACCAAGTCCATAAGAAGTCGTAACCTCTGGACATGTGAGCACCGGCAAGTTGACGTATGCAACAGTCAAAAACGCCTTCGAGTGACGGTGACGGACCTCGGTCCTCGTTCCCCCACGCTCATCCCAACTCCCAGGTCTGAACCCGATTGGTGCTGGAGACACGGTGGCCGGGGTGCTGATGGCTTCCTGGTGCTCAGGCATCGCACAGGACTTCGAGGAGCCTTTTCGGTGTAGAAGCGGAACGTGGCCTTTTTCCTGTTTCCCATGGCCTTCTCTTGGTCTGGTAGTTCTTGTGTGCATCACGCCAAGCTGGTTCAAAATGGCTCAACCTGCTATCTGGTCCGTTTGGGATTGATGTGGGAAATGCAGAGAGATGCTTAAGAGCTGCAGCTATGAAGACTTGTCTTTCGATCTACAAACGTCAGTTTCGGTTTTAGGCACCCTTTCACCTTTACAACCTTTACACCCAAAGCCTGGACAGTTGACTGCACGAGCTACGTATATAGGCTGCTGAGGCAGTGGAGCTCCGAAATGGGCGAGAAGTTAAAGCAAAATGGAAAGGTTTCACTAGTCACCTCCGAGCAGAGATCGGGGGCACAAATTTCCTACCCAGTGCACTTCACGACATTCGGCATCAGCCTGGGTAGTTGGAGTCGAGAGGAGGCGATGCTTTATGGTTTGGCCTCGGCTACAGCAAAGGCACGGCAAAGGGAGGGCCTGGGGTTTGGCTTTCCTCATTTCAGGACTTCACGGGCGGTGAGAATGCTCCACGAAAGCTGCCTTGCGATGGGCAGGTCCTTAGCGTGTCACACGACCTGTTCCTTGCTTCCCTTGCAACTGTGGTAGTCCAAGTGAGTCTTGCGTGTGCCAGAGCAGAGTGGGCATCCGGTGGTGTCAGGTGAAAGAAGAAGGTGAAGGTGGAAAGTTCGACATCGACTCTTGGCATAGAGCTGCTGACTGCCCTACTTCAGTTTGTTTCATTGATTCTCTTTGATTCTCCCTAGTTTTACCTCCTATTTGTGAGGAGGAAATGCTGACGATCAAGAAGGCGATTTCAATGACGCACGTTTGATACTTGTGAGCTTGGATCGATAACAACCCCAAGCAAGTGCGCCGAACTCGCAGAGACATGCAGTCGAACAGCTGCAAGCAGCTGGCAGGATGCGGACAAAAAAGTTCCCAGTTTTGTCTCGAGCGCCACCCGCACTGGAGAGCTTCTGCCGTGTCCGCTTGAGCAGTGCAGGAGCTACCGGCAGCGCTGGAGTGCAACGGAAGAAGCGAAGAGCAGGGTCTCTGTGAGGACACGAGGGTTGCCGCCTCTCACAATACGGCCAAGGTTTTAGGGAGGAAGAGCAGCCAGGGCAGAGCCAGGGTGCTGGTAGTCACAGTTTGCAGACGTTGCATCAGCACCCTGTACTGTTTGCACGATCGCTGATCCAATTTGGTTTGGAAGTCTGAGAGCAGGAGCTCGAACCTGCGGAGACTTGGGAACAGAGTGCAGCAGCTTTCTCGCCCCAAGCACTGGGTGCAGACTTGGCGAAAGAGGCCTTGCTATTTAGGGTTTAGGGTTTGAGGGTTTCTGAGGCATTCGGACAAGGGGTCCTGTCCTCCGTGTGTGTGTGTGTGTGTGTGTGTTGTGCTTCACTTATCTAGCCGTTGCTAAGTTCCAGGGTGGTGTCCTTGCACAGATCCGCAGGTGGCTGGAGTGTCCTTCATGCAGGAGGGCATCGAGCGGGCAGATGCACTGCCAAGACACTTGCACAAGGCCAGCATTCGCGTTTTCCACGGGTCAGCATCAAAGCCATCTAGAACCGCACTCCCTCCATCGAAAGGCTTTGGATAGTGGGTGCCATCTTGGTATTTTGTGTTTTGTGATCGGCGATGGGAGAGTTGAAAGCCCAGAAGTTCAAGAGGCCGGTTCCTGCATCTTCTTGAGACATGGCAAGTGGATACTGCAGCCTTGCCCTTCGTTCTACCATATTGGCATTGATTGGAACACACCCAAACCCCAATCTCTGAACTGAGCAACGCCAGTTGTCGATGCCAGGTCCTGATGGACTCGATGGTTTCCGTTCCCATGTTTTTGGCGCTGTTCACTTTGGTGATGCTGTGGGCAAGGCCCTGACGCACGGGTTTGGGTTTTACAGAGTTTGGAGCTGCGGTTTGTGGTTTTGGCTTGGAGGGTCCGGGCTTCGGAAGGGCCCAGAGCCATTTTGCAGGTTCCGAGGTTTTGAAGAGTTGAGGATGACAGTCTTCGGTTGGCTTCGGCTCGCTGCACCAATTGGCGCTGGTAGGAGCAGCACCTTCGCAATAGAAGCTGCTGACCCCCCCAGGTTTTGCAGCGAACATGATTACATCAGCTCCTTTTACAAGTACAGCCCTTGAAGGCATTGTTGCTGTGCGGTCTTGTCAAGGTGCACCGTGTCATTGACAAGCCGTGAGCAGAAGGAGCCCAGCACTCCATCAGCTGTGGATGCTTGGCATTGGCCTCAGAGTGGTCTCGGAAGCTCGGAATCGACGCGTTTTTTTTCATTTTCTCTGCGAGGTGTGTCCAAGGTGCAGAGGCGGAGTCGGCGCCTCGTTTCGGACCAACTCGTTCCGGCTTCAGTGACTGAGATGCGTCCCAGGTGTGATGCGAAGTGGCTGTGTCACGAGCTCATGGCGGCTTGGACTGAAGTCAGGTAGAGTTGTCAGGAGGCAGTAGGAGGCAGAAGCACCCGCGGATTCATGCCGAGGTACCACGGAACAGCAGATGTGCAGTTACCGTGCCTCGCATGCTGAAAGAAGGACTTGCTTGTGTTATGGCGGGTAGCACCCCAGACTCCAGACCTTCACCAATCTCGCCGAGCCTTCGCTGCTGCAGGACCTTGGACAGCTGTAGAGCGCGTCTCAGATGATCTGACAAAGCCCGATAGCTTCTTGATGTTGGGCGTGCTACCCGAGCTCACCTGATCTCTTGCTGGAGGTGAGTGACAAGATGGGCCAATGCATGTTCAAGGTGTGTACTACGGAGGCTCGATCATATCGTTTAGCATGCGAGCTCATGATGCATGCTGCTCACCGCAGGGGATGTGTGCCTCTGCTGCTGGCTTGATCAAGGGTTCGTGTCGCCTGAAACTGACACCTGGTACGATGTGCTAGACTTCGAAACGCCACTGTCACGGGCCCGCTGAGCCACTGACACTGAAGGAAAGGATTGTTCGGAAAGACCAGCAAAGAATTGTTACAGGCAAACACCAGGAGCTGGCTACCACTGGACCAGTCCAGTCGGGCCGAAGACCTTAGCACCTAGGAAAGCTTCGAATTTCTTAGTCGAGGTGTCACCTGTACACCCGGCTGTCAACATGCATGGTCCTCGCACGATTCTTCACACGGCACCAGCGGACGACGAGGCGGGGTCTCTGCTCAAAAAGAGGAGTCCGCTCCAGCTTCTGCCCTGTGTTGAGGATGCAGTTCTGCTGGCCGTCACTGAGCAGGACAGGTGGCACTCGATGCTCTCGGAACATGAACTCATGAACAAGTCTCGACCAAGCTTTCGGAAGTGAGGAGCCTTGCGACCTCAGAATCGCAGGAACGAGACCGCATCCCGGATTCTTTCAGGCGAAGCGCGAATTTTGGTGGATGTTTGGAGTCTAGTGCTTTTTGCTTTTCGGCCAAGGCCCCGAACCCCTAAAGCCACACAGCCCACACCTATGCTGGATGGGAAGGGCAGGCCATGGCAGGCCTTCAAGTGCAGTGGGCTGGCTCCGTTTGTGACTTGCTTTGCTAAGGCCCCACGACCAGGAACACTGCTTGCCAGTCCAACTTCCGAAGGCGGCCATCGCTTTTTTGGCCCGGTGCTTAGGATTTTACTTTCCTTGCGGAAACCATTTTGAAGAGCTCTTCTTGTTATTTGCGCTCCTTGGCTGATTGCTGCCGCTGGCACTTTGGCGGTGTTTTGATGGTTGGTTGTCTGTACTTGCAAGATCTCGCAAGCAAGAGCAACCGGTCTGTGCTCTTGTTAATCATAAACACATGTTGTGGTCTTTTCTGCAGTTCTTTTCCAATGCTGGGACTGAACAGATTTGCCAGAGACGACAATGCATGCGAAGATCGAAACCCTAAATGAACCACGGGCAAGGTCGAGGTCCAAAACCGACGCTTCTCACAGGGGCAGGGGCACGGGGGATGCATGCATCCTTGCTACATCCTTCATGCATGCGTGTAAACGAGCGCGCATGCGGGCATCCTTGATCAGCAAGGCATTTCTCGCCGTTTTCGCAGTGGGCGTGATCCTCGCCACCAAGCTGCGCCCTCCGGGCTACGGCGAAGACACCTTCACGGATCCGTCTCTGAGGTGCCAGTTCTGCTCTTCCGGGGGTTTGGGGCCTGGTCACCGTGGACACTCCGAGGCACTCTTCGAACCTGGACGAGGCGACTGGCGGCATCAACAAGAAGGCACAACGGCCACACTCGTCTTGCCGGTCGCTGCAGTGCTGGCTTTTCGCCAATGACGGCCAGGCACCACGACCGGAGCATATGTGCAAGAACTGCAAACCGTGCGGGAGTCCAAGCTTCTTCTGCGTCTTTTCAAGGCCTCACGACATTAATCGTCGACACCCATTGTGACTGCAGGTGCAGACCAGCTCAGCTGCGTGCGAATTGTCGACGATTTCTTTCAGAATGCAGCCAAAGGCCAGCTAGGACACCTGGCTTTTTCATTTTTTGCCCTTTCAGAAGCACCTCAACAGGCCTCGACTCACTCGTCCAACCTTGTGTCAGGACTCATCCGGACATACCAGCAAGCTTTGTATGCCGGTGATTGTCCGAATTGTGGCCTGGCAAAGTGATCAAGATGAGTCTCTTCGAACACGTCGTAGCACAGCATGCTGAATGCTGAATATGGGTTGCAGAGACCAGTAGTCCGGACGATTGGTGGCGTCTGGACAGTGCAGTGAGATTTCGAAGCTCAAACTCACAGAAGCAGTCGCCGACCTGCGGGGAAGGTGGCTTTCAGTTGCGGTAACTTTACCCTTTTGCAGAGAGCCAAACGAAGGCGACCTGGCTGGAGATTTTGATTCCCTCACCAAGCGGTGTGATGTCTATGACAACGCAGCTCAGCCTTGTTACTCTTAGGGGCTCCGTGGGGCTGTGGCCATGACATGCAAGAACACACAGTTCAGTGTTCCCCATCTTGAAGATCAGTTACTGCTCAGAAAGTACTAAAGTCACTATTGTGATTTTATGACACTTATTGCGACGATGCTTACTGTCATTGTCATGCACCTTCCAATCGCCACTGGTTTTTCTGGCCAGGTCAGGGTTGCAGGTTCAAGTTCTGGTGCAGCATGTGTTTGTGGAGCGTTGTTGAGTTCCTCACGCCTGTTGATGGCCCATCACCCACTCCACTTCCATTGCAAGTGGAGTCGTTCTCAGAGCAGAGTTTTGGACATCCACCTTTATCGGACCACATCGCACAAGTGGGCTTTTGTTGACGTGCTCTGTGCGAAGACACTACTGATCACTACTGGCTCGGTGCCAACATCATCCCAGCTTCAAGCTTGAAACCACCAGATTGGATCCCTTCTCTTAGGCAGTTGCTGCGATCTACCTGACGCAACGGGGAAACTACGAGGCGGCGCAGGGCATACTCAACGTCTTCCTTCGGCCCCCGGATCTGAAATTATTTTGCAAACACAGTGGCAAGAACGCAAGCAGTGACAACAGTAAGAACAGCAGCAATGCAACAAGATAAACCACTGCTGCGGCTGCTGCCCTAACTACTACTGCTACTCGGCAACTCTGCCACCACTACTACTACAACTACCACTACCGCGACGGTTACAGCTACCACTGCCAATACCACTACCACTATCACTACAGTAACCGCTACTGCTACCATATTACGACCACTACTACCGCTGCAGTCGCCGTTGCTGGCTTTGCTGCTGCAGCTGCTCCAGCTGTGGTGTTTGCTGTTACTACGACTTCAGGGGTCAACAACAACAGCAGCTTGCGACCAGCAGCAGCAGAACTTTCGTGAGCAGCAAAGCCGACGTACGAGGACACAGACAGATCGACATTCTCGGACAGGAGATGAAGACATATACTAGGGATAGTGATGATCGTAGCTGCGTTATCACCGGAAAACAGCAGAAGTATCTTGCTAGCTGTAGTAGACATAACATGTTCCAAATAACGACGAGCTGGCAAATACAATCCAGACAGGGGATAGCTTGTGCCAGCATTGATAGTGTAGAACCGAGTGCTGCTAGCGAAGCGGCCTGATCGTGTGAGCATGTGTCCTGACTTCCGCTGGCATTTAGGCCTTGATCCGAACTTTTGGCTTCGGACAGGAAAAGGAGCGCCTGTTGCAGCTAGCGTGCGCCTAGCTTGCATAGTGGCACCGGAGCCTGAGCGATTCATTCTGCGCTACCCGCTTTGCTGATCCTTCTTTCTTCTCTTCCTCTCCCTTTACAACTTCCTTGGGGCCAGTGCTTTGTCATTGAGCTCCTCGAGGGTGGCCTGGCGAACGGCGAGTTCGTTTGGGTCACAAAGGGGGTACCGAGACCGAGGCCGTGAAGCTCCGGCCCTGGGTCTGTGGTGCCAAGTCGGTGGCTTGCTGTGCGCTTCAGCGCCTTCTTTGGCAAGCCCTTTTTTTGGAACAGCTTTCTGACCTACCTCCTCGCCGTGGACGCCTCCTTCGAGAACCGCGGCGTCTACTACCTTTGGGCTGTCCGGACCGCTCCGGCTTCTTTGTCTCTTTGAGTTTGCTGGGTTTGCTTGGCAGGCCGTCCGGATCGATCCGGCTTCTTGGGCCACCTTCTTCCTGGCAGGCCACTTTTGGGCGGGACTAGCTGCCCCTCTTCTGCGACTTCGTTCTCTACTACCTTCGGCGGTGACTAGGCCGCCCCCTTTTTCTTTGAGTACTGGAAGGCCCTGCCAGAGGCTCTTCGGCATTTTGCCAAGATGGCTGACGAGGACAAGACGACGTCTTCGTGGTTCAAGGTGCCCACCTGGGACGGCAGCCCGACAACCTGGCGGGCATTCGAGCGTGAGATGTCTTGGTGGCTCAGCTCCTTGGACGTGGAGGGCACCAAGAAGTACAACCTGGCAGCCCGTTGGTTGCTCCGGCAAACGAGCGTTGTGAGACAGCGTGGGGAGGAGTTCACCCCAAAGGACCTCGAGTACCAGAAGGAGGTCAGGACCCGAGACACGGAGGGCGTTGAAATTGTGGTGACGCCTGAGGACCCGTTTGCTGGGATCAATAAGTTGCTGAAGGCTTTGGAAGGGATCAATGGGAAGTCGGCTCTTGATCGCAAGGGTGAGTTGCGAAACCAGTTTTATCTCAACTTGCAGCGTGCACCTGGCGAGCGGCCAGCCGACTTCATGAGCCGCTTCCGGGCCTTGACGGCCGAGATGCGCACTGAGGGCATTGAGCTCCCGACCGGGGAGCTGGGATGGTTCCTTCGAGAAAAGTTGGGCTTGGATCCGCTTCGAAAACAGCTCCTGGAGACGGCTTTGCAGGGCAAGGAGAAGTACGAGGACATCGAGCTGGAGGCCTTGCGGCTTTTCAAGGAGTTGCATACCTCAGACCCTCTTATGCGGAAGGTGAACTTCGAAGCTCGCGGCCGAGGCCGGGGCATGGGTTCCTCCTATGGTTCGGCGGTTTCGGGCCGTGGCTCCTATGCACCGTCAGTGGCTTCGCGAACTTCGTCGGCTCCCTCTTCGGCACCTTCCCGTGGCGGCCGGTTCGGTGGCTTTGTGCCTCGACGCTTTGGCTTCCAGGCGCGGCAAAGGCAGGCAATGGCCACAGAGTACGAGGCCGAGCAGGAGGAAGGCGAGCCAGAGGATGATGAGCTGGTTCCGGACGAGACCGGGGCCACGGAGCAGCCGAATTTTGATGAAGTGTTGGAGGCGGAAGCCGAGGCTTTAGCAGCAGAGCTCGAGCAAGCCGAGCAGGAGGGCATGGAAGCTGGCGTCATTGAGGAGATCGAGGGGACCGTGGAGACAGCAGCCGAGGCCCTTATCACG